TGATAAAATAGTTGCAGCTGCCTGCTTGGTGCTATTTGGTGCTATCAGTGTGTTTGTCAGTGTCTGGGTTAGCTGCACCCAGGAGGATTTTAATTCTGAGGTTCTGTGTGTTCTTAAGGGTGAGAGGCATGGACTGTGGTGCCCAGAATCGGAGGAAATTAGGGCTCCTGGTGCTGTGCAGAGACCCTGCAAGGGACGTTTTGTGAAGGGCCTTTTTCTGGTGCTTTTTCTGGTGCTCTTCCTCCAGGGTTATGATCTGCAGGAGAGCTCGTCTTTGCAGGGGGAGGGCCGAGGCATCTGTGTTCAAGGTCTCCCTCCTCTCCCCCTGGCGCCCCCTCTCTTCACCCCTCCAGCCAAAGCAGGTTTAGACAATCCCTGAGCGTGCAGGGTTTGCTCTTCTGGCCTCCGAGGTGCTCCTCCATTCGTTGTGGTACTTGCTAAGGATGGTCTTGACTTGCTTAACCACTGTTCAAAGTTATGAAGGACCCCCTCCCAAAGGTCTTTATGACCTTCCTTATGACCTGGTTCCAAAGTTCCAGTGGCCGTACACCCACCCCCACCGTCACTTGACCACATGTCAGATGCTGGGTAACCAGCCTGTAGTTAGACATTGGCAGCATCCCGTGGTCATTTGACCAAGATTTATGACATTTTTGCAAAAAATGGCCTTCTATTTTTAGCAAAAATGTGCCAGAGTGCACAAGGGCTCACTTAATGATCACCGCAAAAATGGTTGTAAAATTGGGTTGGTTGCATGGACAATCCACTTTTCAATTGTCACAGCTTATGCTGTAGCGGGCATGCTCCATTAGTCGTAACTCAAGGACTTCCTGTCCAAGCAGCGTAAGGCTCTGGGTGGCTTCCCTGCCCTGCTTGAGAAGGTGCCCATCATGCCAGAAATGGTGCCCTTCCCACCAGCCCATCCCAGGCACCCGACTCCAGCAGGCTGGCTGTGGGGGTGGCCCATAGCGGTTTTGCCCGGCGGGCAAGAAGGGCTAACTTCCCTTTAGCAAAGAAGCTCATCTTGGAAACTGGGAAGGAAGCCTTGGGCTATTCCCAGGGCTCTGGAGCCTGGGTGAATCATCCCTGCTGAGAATGAGGGGCAGCCCCTCCCTCCCCAGTGCCCTTCCGAGTAGAGGCTGCAGCCAAGGATTCAGCTGTTCAGGTGTCTCCCCCCCCCCAGTTTGGAGAAGGAGCTGCTGACCTCTTCAGACTTTCTCCGGTTCCCCTGAGCTGCAGATGCCCACTCTCCTCCTTGGGGCCTGCCTCCAGGCACACTGGCACCCCCTCCAGCCCAGCCCCTGTTCTTGCTGGCTGTCCCCTCCCCCCTCACCACAAGGCTGGTGGAAATGACATTTGTTCTTGGTTAAGCTTCTGCCTTGATTTAGATTCCCTCCATCTGCTGCCTGCCTGGGCTCCCCCTTCCTTTGTCTCCGTGTCTGCATGACCCCTTTGTTGCCGTCAGCTCCATCTTTCCGCGGCTCCTGCCAGCACCGCCACGACCCTCTTCTCCCAGCTGGGGGTGGGGAGAACCTTTGCAGGACCAGCAAGCCAGGAAAGGCAGCGTCCTCAGAGGGATTTTGTCTCAAAAATGGTCCCCAAATGCTAGCAAATTACGAAAGCCAGTTGAACAAGGAGGACTGGACCAATCCTTGAGAAAGAGGATGCAGGAGCATGCAGGAAGCCCTTCTCTTTGAACCCTTAAAGCAGCCGCCTTTTCTCCAAGGTCTTTACGTCTGTTTTGGGATGTGAAGCAGCTGTAGATGCTCACCTGCGTGGAGACGGCCCAGGGCAGCTTCCGAAGCAGATGGGCTGGGCCAGGGTGGGTGCAAAGGAAGCCGCCCGGAGGGTTGGCAGGATCCACTCAGCCCTGTTGCAAATACGCAGCCAGTGAGGGAGGTTAGTCTCTGGCAGAAAGGGCTCTCTGCGCCCCAGGCAGCTCCCCCCCCCAATTAATGCCCTTCTGGCTACCCCCCGAGTTGAGATTCCAGCCCAGAAGGGCCATGCTGGGGGTGTGTGCAAGGGAGGAGTGTGGAAAGTCTGGGATTTTCCAGGGCTGGGAGAGCACTGAAGTGGGCAGAGAGGCACTTGATGACTGGGGTGAGAAGGCAGAAATTCCCTCTTGGCTGGGACCAGCAGAGGAAGATAGAATGGGAAGCTGAGGATGGGCTATTCAGGAGGGAGATGGGTCTGGTACTTTCTTTCCAGCCCTCATCCTGAAGGCCAGGGTGTCAGACCCTCAGTGGCCCTCAATTCCAGCTCTTGCCTTGGGATGCCAAAATGGAATGATCCTCCTAATTGACTACTTTTCCAACAGTCCCTCCTGTGCTGGTCACCTTGGGCATGGGCTACAGCAATGTGCTTTACTTATGGCTTCCCTTCCTTGAAGATTGCTCAGAAGCTGCAACCCGTCTCAAATAATTCTGCTCTGCCCGTTGCCATCAAAATCTTGCAGGAACAATTCAAGCTATGGTGATCACCTACAAAGCCTTCATGGCAGATCATTGGTCTTCCCTGGTTTCTCCACAGCCTGGGCACAATTGGCACAGTCCAGACACCGTCCCCTTGGGCCAGGGTTCTCAACCCAAGCAACTTTAAAACGGGTAGACTTCATGCTGGCTGGGGAATTCTGGGAGTTGAAGTCAAGCGGTCTTAAAATTGCTGAGGTTAAGGAACACTGCCTTAGGCAATATCTCTTGATGGGACCTAGGAAGTGTGCCTTCTTTGTGCCAGCATCTGCCCTCTGAAATGCTTTCCCAAGGTACCCCTGGCTCCTGCCCTGCCCCCCAAAACCTTCACAAAAGATGGCAGGTGCAGCATGTTTGATTCTTTTTCAAGAATGTTTTCCTACAAGATATTTGGATTCCTAATTGTGTTTTATGATTATTTTTACTGTACAGGTACTCCTTGAATTAGGAATGTAATGCAGCCTCCCTTTCTATTCATAACCTGAGGATTCGTAGGAGTGAATCGTGTATCTTGAATGCCATCACTCCCTCCTTTTGCCCATGCATTCACCAATTGAATGCACGGGTTGATAAGTGCACATGAGTTATCTGGGGAAGGCCTTGGGCGGGGGGGGGGGGGCAGTGATGCAACAGGCCACCTGCTTCAGACCACCCAAGGCCTTCCCCATCCCACTAAGATACCTCATTGTCCCTCCCCTGGGATCCCCACAGTTGCTCGCCACCCCCCATCCTGCCGTGCCGGGTCACTTACTTGTGAAGTTCTGTCTCCAGTCCAGCCTCACTGCTTCTTTGCCTGCTCCCGGTGAGTGGCGAGAGCAGAGGGAGAGCAGGACAAGTGTGCCCTGCTCAGCTTCTCTGACTTCTGGAGCAGTGGGCAGCCTCGGGGGGTCTCCTTCAAAGGCTTCCAGGTTCGGGGTGGAAAAGCGTTTGCACACGGAAGGGAGGTTTGGGGCAGCGAAATCACATTGCTTCAAGCCTCCCGTTGGCGTGCAAACACTTTTTGCGCACAGACTGGAAACTTCTAGTTGCCCTGATCTCGCGGGACTTGAGACACCCACTCTCTGCAAAACTGGATGGGTGCCTCAAGTTGCACGAGATCATGGCCCCCAGAAGCTTTTGGCCTCTGGCTGAAAAGTGTTTATGCACCTATGGGGTGCTGCTATAAAGAGCTCCATAGAGCTTGAGGAGGCCTTTGTTGATGAGGATGGAGGCCCTGAGGCACGCGGGGGTCTGCTCTTGTCAGCAAAGTCCTTGAGGAAAGGCCTCTTCCACCATAAACGGAGGCCCGGAAGGATGCGGGCATCCCTCTTGACCTCCGTCCTTGGTAGCAAAGGCTTTTTGCAAAGATGGCAGGAGGCTTTGCAAACGGAGGGAAGGCTTTGATGTTTCAGGCTTTCCCTCCATTTGCAAAACTTTTTGCCTCAGATCTCTTCCAGGCTTCCATTTGCAGAGAGCAGAGGCCTAAAATGCCGTGAGATCGTGCAAGATCAGTAGGGTGAGATCTCACACTACTGATCTCACGTGATCCTTCGGTACTTTAGGCATCCATTCTCTGCAAACGCACCGAAGGCCTGAAGCACCAAAACAGGCCAAGAAACTGAAGGCTCTCTAGATCTTCACAAGGCCTCTTGCCTGTGGAGCCCCAGAGGGGGAAGGGGAGGAGGAAGAGAAGAGGCAGGGCAAATATTGCAGTGCCTCTGCGGTTGTACACAAGTGTGAATGACTGCCAAGGTGCTGCAACATTTGTAATTTCGGGATTTGTTCAAAAACACTAGGGGGCGCTTATGGCGTAACTTTGAACATTCGCTAAGTGAACATTCGTAACTCGGGGATTATTTGCATATCACCCAGAGTTGCAGAGTAGCAGAGTTAGGCATTGTTATAAATGAAATGGAACAGAATGGAAGAGAAAAACAGAATAAAATAGAATATAATAGAGTCTCCTTTGAAGGCAGGCAACGTACAAGTCTGATAAAGAAAAATGGAGTGGAGTGGAGTGTGGAATATGGAACATGGAGTAGAAGATAGAATACAGAACATAGAACAAAATAGAACTTAGAACAGAGCAGAGTAAAATAGGAGTTAGTCCTCAATTTCTGACTGGTCACTTAGCAATTTTTTGCATTTATAACCGTTTCCAGCATCCCATGGTCAGATGACAGCAATTCATGCTGTTTTTGCAGAAAACTGGCATTTACTTCCGGTTTCTAGCATGGCTGGCTGGGGAATTCTGGGAGTTGAAGTCCACCCATTTTAAAGTGGCCAAGTTTGAGAAAGAATGTCCTAGATAAATGGCATCCAGAGAATGCGTGTATCTGTGTGTCTGTGTGTGATTGTCACACTGCTGTTGATATTAGAAAGGAGGGGGAGGGGGAGCTGCTGCCTTCCCCTTTTAGCCCCCTTATGTGCCATTTATAAGTACTTTCCCTCAGTGGTCCAAGTGTCGTGAGGCGTCTGGGTCCTCTGCGTCCTTCAGATCCAGGTCCAGCTACTAAATTTTCTTTCTCCTTTCTTTCTTCTCTTTTTCCAAAGGTTGCAAAATCAAAGCTCTGAGAGCCAAGACCAACACTTACATAAAGACGCCGGTCCGTGGTGAAGAGCCCGTCTTCATGGTGACTGGGCGGCGGGAGGACGTCGCCATGGCCAGGAGGGAAATCATCTCGGCTGCTGAGCATTTCTCCATGATCCGCGCTTCCCGCAACAAGGCTGGCCCCACCTTCGGCAGCGCCCCCACCTTGCCTGGGCAGGTCACCATCCGGGTCCGGGTCCCCTATCGTGTGGTGGGCTTAGTTGTGGGGCCCAAAGGAGCCACCATCAAGCGGATCCAGCAGCAAACCAACACCTACATCATCACACCCAGCCGCGACCGGGACCCCGTCTTTGAGATCACTGGGGCCCCCGGCAATGTGGAGCGAGCCCGAGAGGAAATTGAAACCCACATCGCTGTCCGGACAGGCAAAATCCTAGAATACAACAACGAGAATGACTTCCTGTCCAGCAGTCCTGACTCAGGCATGGAAAACCGCTACTCGGAGGCCTGGCGGGTCCACACTCCTGCCCCAGGTTGCAAACCCCTCTCCACCTTCCGCCAGAACAGCCTCGGGTGCATCGGCGACTGCTCCTTGGACCCTGCCTATGAGACGCCCCGGCTGAACGACCAAAACGATTTCAATTACAGTTACCTCTTCCCTAACTACGGGGTCAACAAGCAAGACCTGTATTATGGGGTCCCCGAGTCAGGAGCGCCTCTGTGGGCTGGCCAGGAAAACACCAATCCGGTTTCCGTGCTGTTCTCCAAACAGCGCTCGGGCAATGCCGGCACCCTCCACCCCAATTCGCACCGCTCTCCCTCATCATCCATCCAAGAGCCTCCCCTCTCTGGGCTTCCGAGACGGTCTCAGGGGGAGCCCCTGCAAGGGTTCTCCAAATTGGGTGCTTCCACTGCCACCCGGACATCCCTCTCGAGCAGCCGGGAGTGCATGGTGTGCTTCGAAAGCGAGGTAACGGCGGCCCTTGTGCCCTGCGGCCACAACCTCTTCTGCATGGAGTGTGCCGTGCGGATCTGCGAGCGGACCGACCCCGAGTGCCCGGTCTGCCACGCGGCAGCGACTCAGGCCATTAGGATATTTTCTTAAAACCAGCAGCAGCTGCGGAAACCCTGGCAAACAGGAAGGAGAGCGAGCAAGAGACAAGACAGACAGAAGGACATCAGAAGCAGGAACAAACACAGGAGAGAAACGAACATTAGTTTAAAGAGGAAAGAAACTATTTTAGGAGCAATGTATGTTATTTTTAAAGAAAATAATGATAGTGGTGATGATGACGAAGATGACGGATATGATTTAACTGGAGAATCTATAAATATTTGGGCAGGCGATTTGATACGCAGTGATTGGTGGTGCTGATTTTTGGTGGTGAATTCTTTCTCAAGATGGTCTTGGGGGGGCTGGAGGGGGGCTGTCCTGGTGGATCTGTGGCATCTCCTGGTGATCGAGAAACTTCTCCTCGGGGGCTGCTGCTCCTCTTCTCCCCAACAACCCAGCTCCGGTCGTGGCCACAACATGGCCGGAAGATCTTGGCCGGCCTGGCGGACAACAGCTTTGGAAGGAACTCAATCAGGAGGACAGGAGGAAGGAATAAACAAGAGAGAAGCCTCTGGGAAGATGATCAAACGAGGGCACAACTGCATTACCTCAGCATTTAAAAAGAAAAAGAAAAGAAGCAGCTAAAGACCTTTATATTCTGTTTCCTCTATTTTTTTTCCTAAGAAAAGTTTAATGAAAATGAATAATATTTGGGCCGGGAAAATGAGGAAAGAGGTGTGAATCCTCCTGGCTACTTTAACCTTTTCATTTGGAGTCTTCTGAGCCACCGCAAAGGGTTTTGAACATTGATCTTTCTTTTTCTATCCAAGCAGGGATTCATCTAATAAGAATCAGGAGTCACTAACAGGGTATTTCCAAAAAAGAACAAAAATCCCGCATGCAAATCAACCCTCCCAAATGTCGGGTGAGGGTTGACCTCCATAAACCTGCATTTCATGATGCAATTTCAAAGATACAGCCATGCAAAAGAGAAGTGTTTTTCTTCCTTTTTTCCTCACTTGATTTTAACAAGTTTCACATTAAAACCTAAGAAAATGATCATGCAATACCGGCAACAAAACCCCATTTTAATCCACAACCCAATACAATGCAAAAAACAAAAACAAAAAACCCACCAGTAACTATTCAAGTTGACAAGTTCATATATAATTTTGTTATCTAAGGACCAAAACTTTTCTTACTCAAAATCAAGTAAAAAGATTTTAAAAAAGAAAGAGTATTTCTTTATGGACCAAAACCTCTTTTCACTGTCCTCATCTGGATCTTCCTGAGGTTATCTAGTTTTATATATTCTATTTTTTTCAGAATGAAGCAGACACATGCTCAAAAAAAAGGAAAAAAATAATCTAATGTTGAATTGCCTTGCAGAACATCCTTAATCATTTCAAGACATTTGACTGCTGCTTTTGTGATCTCAGATACTTGGTTCAACTTCTGGGCCTGGAGGAGCTGCTGTGCTCTCTCTGTGAATTCACCTCCAGCCACGTCACTTGGTGAGATTTGTTCAACTTGCTACCTGGATGCCAAACATGCAAAGGGGTGGAACAAAACAACACACACGCGCACACAAACACACATACATATATTCCTTTTCTGCCCATTTCCTGTTACATTTGCTTAAACTTCTTGGACTTGTTTGCAGAAGGAAACTTTGCAAGCTCAGAGATGGTTTGAGAAGACAAAAGATTCTGCTTTGGGTTTTGCTTTGTGCATTTTATGGAAGACTTTTGTTTCATCGCCACGTCACGTTCTTGGGGGAAATCTCTTCTTTTTCTCTGTCCCAAATATCACCCTCTGACCTCTGTTGACTTGTCCCAGAAAGTCCTCAGGCCCTCACGGACAGTGCCAGGTCCACCACCTGCAGCCGTGCCCCACCCCTTTCTGGCGTAGCCGATCCTGCTTGCTCTGCCTCGGGAAGATGCTCACAGCTATGCATGCACCCCACGCTTCCTCCCTTGGCCACAGAAGAAGCCCCACTGTGACCCACGGGACTCCCGCCCCCTCCAGAGATTCTGACACCTCCCTGCTGACTTCTCACAATGCCAAATCCCTTCTCAAGCCATGCTTGTTCAGCACAGAGCATGCCCACCGCCCTGGCTTTTGGTCAGCCTGGCCAACCTCGGGCCAAAGGTGTCATCTGGCCAGGATCTGTTTTCAGGGGGAGGGCCTGGGGAGGAAGGGCCACAGCGGTGGCGGCGGCAGCTTTTCTTCTTTATGATGAGAACATCCAGGTCTTGTGCAGGAGTGGAAGGACGGGGCCGAGCTGAAGTATGCCCACTCACTCGCTCCGATGTTCTGCATGCAAAAACAATGTTGAGTGAACGGGGACCTGTCAGCTTCACCTGGGCCTTCACACCTGTCCTGGAAGGTAACGTGGCTTCAATCTGCACTGCAGTTTCCTCTGAACGTGATGACATCCTGGATGAGTGGCACTTCATTCCCATGCTACTCAAGAGAGGTCCCAGCGCTCTAGGGTGGCTCCCCTCCTCACTGGCCAGAAGGAGCAGCCCCACCCAGTCATTCAGCAGCATGAAAGTGTTTTCTGGCCAAGCAGGGAATCGGGAGGACCACGAGGGGGCTCGGTTGGCCCCGAGTCAACAAAGGCCCCGGGCTGCTCCCTCTCCGTCTGCAGCTCCCCGGATGCAGTGCCCCCACTGCAGGGGGCGGTGAGGAGGTGCCCCACCCCAGCACACCAGTCAAGCAACTTTCTATGCATTTCTTTGGGGGATCCAGAAAGACTGAGCGATTCCCTGGCTTCATGCTTTTAATTTTCACCGCAAACCCCTCATGGATACTACAAAGTCTCCCTTCACATCTATTCTACTGGGATATAAATATAAACATGCATTCAGATATGTCTATTCCAGGAGAAGATGGAAGAAAGGTGGGGCAGGGTCACCGAGCAGGGGAAGAGGGGGAAACTTGGTCCTTTCTGGGGGCAGGGGATGGGGGAAGGCAGGTCTCTGCTTCTGCTGATGTAGATAAAAGGGGTAGAAGTTTTGGGGCAAGGCAGGAAGTGACGCTGGGGCTCTCCAGGGGTTCTTGGGTTTAGGGGTTCTTGGCAGAGTATAGTCTGTTTCGTAATTCACGTGAGAACATGTTTGGTCAATGTTGGGTTACTTTATGCCAGGCGAGGGAGGAAAAGAGGTTTGCTGGCGGGGAATTGTATATTGGGGTGGGGGCTGAATTGAGCTCTGGCCCTTTTACAAGGGGCGGGGGGCATGGAAGGGGTAGGTGAATTAGCCCCAGTTCCCCCATTATCGACTGAATGAGATGGAAAGTTGAAACAACCTTTCCACCATATTCACCCATGATGAATATATTAGAATATTTTCCCTTTTGAAGAATAGATGTGAATATAAAATCCACCTAATTAAAACTGGAGGGGTAAGGAACCACGCCGGTCTTACCCCTCTCATTTTTTTAAAAAAAAGAGTAACATTTTTTTAGTTCCAATAATCTTTGAGGGGTAAGACCAGCCTGGTTCCTTACCCCTCCAGTTTTAATCAGGTGGATTTTATATTCACATCTATTCTTCAAAAGGGAAAATATTCTAATATATTCATCATGGGTGAATATGGTGGAAAGGTTGTTTCTCTCTATATATAAAGCCTGATGTAGCACCTCTAGTTTAATAGCAGTATTTTAACTCCCATCTTTTAAAATATATATATATAAAAGCATACATACATACATATATATATATATATATATATTTCTGCCCACCTGTCCTTATTACTTTTAATGTTGAGAAAAAAAAGGAAAGAAAGAAAGAAACAAATTGACCAGAGTTGCAGACCCTTGGTGGGGAAGCCGGGGGGGGGGGCTCCTGCATTCTGCTGGAAAAAAACATCCTGTGGAAGGAATCCACACGTTGAAATTCCCTGCATTTCTGATAGGAAGGGTGTGAGAATAATTTTTTTAAAATATATGTATTAGTGTGTGTGTGTGTGTACACACACACACGCACACACTTAAAAGATAAAAAAAATGCCCATGACCTTAATTTTTTGCTCTGACCTGTATCTTCCTTGATGGGTAAACAGAGGCTTCTTGTTGGTTCAATTCACCAGCAATAAAGAGGAGAGGTAATCCTTCCAGTAAGATCAGGGGAGCTCGTGGGAACCTGGGAAATCGTCAGTTCAATCTCTGCACCCAAATGTCTTGCCTCCCAACTGCCCCCCCACACACAAAAGACTGAGCTGCAGCCGAGAGGGCACCAGGAGGGCCAGCTGGGCGCCAGGGGACAGGATGCCAGTCCCCAGGAATGGCATCAAGTGAGCCTCCACTTGGCTAGCCTTTGGGTGGGCGAGCAGCAAAAACTTTTGGCATCCCCCACTTCCCCCATCACTGCTGCCAGTTTGGGGCATTCAGAAGGCCTTGCTTTCCTTAGCACAAATTTGGTCTCTTCCTGTGTGATGGCTGCCTGTTTTCTGGAGAAGCAAAACAGGGGATTTGGGAATCAAGACATTGCCTGTAGCCGGCTGACCTCAAGAACACTTCCCAGAATTCCTTGGAGGAAGCCATGCCTGGTGCTTCACCGGCCCAAAGGGATGGGTGGGTGATGTCATCTGAGCAGACCAGCAGCCCCCCAATGCCAGCCCGCCAGCCCTGCTTTGGCACCACCCTGCGGGCCTTGGCCAAGCATATGCAGGGAAGCTGTGGCTGGGGGAGATCCTGGGCATCTGATCAAGCCGGAAGTGCTTACCCCAAGCTCTGGCTGGTCCTGCGGTGTAGGGATGGTGACCTCCAGAGCCCACGGCAGCCATGCAGAAGGCCCCAGTGCTGAGACTGGGGGGGGGGGGGGGGCTGAGAGAGAAGCTGAAGTATCTTCGCTGTGCCTTTCATGGCATCCTTATTTTAAGAAAGACCATCAACCGCAGAGTAGATCTTAACCATTTCAAGAGGGCTAAGCTCTCTTGCCAAACCATATCAGAATAACTGAAGTTATTATATCTTATTGTAATAACTGAATCAGAAATACTGAAATGAAGTCTCCTGCTTTGGACGGGCTGGACAAGGAGACCTCCGTGGTCTCTTCCGGCCTTAGGGTTCTGTTTCTCAGTCCAGACCTCAAAGCTTCAAATTTTCAAAGGAAGCCAGGCCTGGCTGGCCTTGCCCCAAGCCACCAACCCAGCCTCGGGAGACAAAGGGGAGGGGTGGAAATTGATTTCAAGTCTTAAAGCAGAACTTTTCAAATAAAAATCCAGTTTCCTGGAATTTATCTGTCTTTAATGGGGAATTTACAGAATACAGAATTGATAGAGTTAGAAGGGGCCTTGGAGGTCTAATCCAACCCCCTGCCCAAGCAGGAGACGCTATGTTATTCAGGACAAATGGCTGCCCAACCTCTTCTTCAATGGGGAATTTGGAATTCAGGAAACCACTAAGGTTGTCGCTTTAAGAATCAACATTCATAATTTGGCATTTAGATTTTTGAGAATGTTTTTTTAGATCTTCACACATTGGTACTTTATCAGCAATTTATCAACAGAAAAAAAGATCTTTTGGGATATTTATTGTTTGCTTTCCATTCTTGTCAAATAACTAGCTACTTTTAAAAAACAGGGCTCTCATCCACTTAAAGGAATATTCATTGATTTTTTTAATTGAGTGACCAACTATTTCCATTGCATCTGCAGAAATGATTATCTGAGAGAAAAGTAGCACCAGGGCTGTTTTTATATATTCTACAAAATGCCTTATGTCAGCAATACTCTAACCCAGTGTTTCTCCTCCTTGGCCACTTGAAGATAGGTGGACTTCAACTCCCAGAATTCCCCAGCCAGCTGTTCTGTGCTGGCTGGGGAATTCTGGGAGTTGAACTCCGCCTATCTTTAAGTGGCCAAGATGGAGACATCCTGTCTTAAACAGAGGTGCTTTGCAACTATGTTCTCTCCAGTGTAGACCAGAAAAACCTTGTTTGTTTTTTAAACTCGTTTATACAAACCCATTTTAAAGTGGCTCAGGACTCCTTGGAGTCAGAGCTTGGTTTCTGACGGGACCTTCGCCTGTTTCGTTTGAGGAGAAGCTGGAAGTGGCTGCCTGGGGATTCTTTTGGCCACGTTTTTTTTTTTTCCCACTCTCCTGCTCTTCCATCCCCAAAGTCACCTGGGGCTGGACAGTCCAGGCTGACTGCTTGCTGTGACCAAAAAGAACGCAAGTCACGTCCAGTTGGTTGAATTTGTTGCCCCTACAGGCAGTCCTCGACTTACGACTTCAACTGGGACCGGAATTTCAGTTGCTAAATACGGTGGTTGCAGCTGATTTTATAACCTTGTTTTGCCACGATTATTAGGCGAATGGTTGCACTTGTTAAGTGGGTATATGCTAACAGTTGTTAAGCGAATCTGATCCCCCCCCCGCTTGACTTTCTTTGTCAGAAGCTGGGGGGGGGGAATATAACAAGTAGTTATCACATGATCCTGGGACACTGCAAATGCCACAAATACATGCTGCTTACCAAGTGCTCAGATTTTGGTCATCTGGCTGTGGGGATGCTGCAATAGTCATAAGTGTGGGGATCTGTTGAAAGTCTCACTTTTTTTACTGCCGTTGTAGCTTTGAATGATCACTGAATGGATGGTTGTAAGTCGAGGACTGCCTGTGCCACCGTTTGCTTAACTTTGATGTGACTCTTTCTGAAAAGTTTTGGAGCTTTCGATCCTCGGCTGTTTTCCTACCATTTTAGACTCTCCCTGAAGGGTCCCGTCATCAACCTCTGCGTTGGGGGGAGGGGGGCTTGAAAATAATGCCAAGCTGTGCAAGGTTGAATCGGTGCGCTTCTATGAAAGGGAGATATTTCCAATTGTCATACTGTGATAAGGGTTTCACTGATATTAAATATATAGAAAATAGTATTATTATAATACATTTAATGTTAAGAAATAAATTCGGATTTATATTTTAAGGAGGGGATATGATCAAAATTACTGTCCTGTCCATAATCTAGTTGCAGAAATATTTTTTTGGTAAGGGGAAATACTCTTCATTGTCTCTCTTCCCCCCCCCCTCGCTCATTCTCAGATGCAATTTTAAAATATCTAACAATACAAAGGCTCTGACTGTTAACTCTCTTGAATCAAATCAACAGCAACAAATATTACCAATTTTTGTTCCGTTCATTTTTTTTCCTTGATGATGTTCATTTACATGCTTAATTGTTTGAGGTTTTTTTTTCCTAATAGAGAGGTGGGGGGAGATGAAAAAAAATTAAATCATTTCTTTATAATTTAATATTCTATTTTAATAAATGCATTTATTACATATAAATGTAGTAAGGAACTGGGCTAAATAAAAATACTTTTTATTAGGTAATTTATTATAAGGGAAAAGGATATTTTATTTTATGATAAAGTGATCCTTAAAAAGACTAGAAAGTTTAGAATATATGTAGGTTAAAAATACATTTGTATCCAGAGTATTGCTTAAAAAGTGTTTTTAATATATGTTTCTTTTCCCCCCTTCCTTTTGTGTGTGCGTGCGTGTGTGTGTTTATCTGTATAAGTGAGTAGTTATGATAAAAATAGCCGTTCCCAGAAATTAAAAAGCTATCACAAAAGTTGTATGTTAAAATAATTAAAAATGGCAAACATTAGAAATTGGACAAAGGAAGTGCCACTTTTAGCAATGCAAGTTGTTGTTTCTGACTTAAGATGGCTCCCTTGCTCTGACGGCAAAGGGATGGGGTGGTGGGTGAACCCTCTGTCCTGGGGTTGACTGCTCTTCAGTCCTGCATGATCCGACACTGAGGAGGAAGCCCACCTCAACCAAGCAGGGGGAGCCAAAGGCAGAGCCAGCCCAAGGACCACTGTCCGGCCTTTTTCTGCACGGATCGCCAGGAGGCTCCCAGTTGTCACGG